ATTATTTATGAAACTGTGTTTGTTCCATCCAGTCTGAAAGACTAAGAAGCAAAGTGATCCTTAGATTTGTTGTGGTTTTCAGTTCAGCTTTGTGTAGAATTATCCTTAAAATCCCCCAAAATAATTTGTAAAAATAAGACAGTCCCAGTGAAAATGTGTGCAGTGTATGATTTGCTCATACTTTCTATCTACGAATGAGGATGTAAAGACAGGCAGCTGTGACACAATCACCATTGTTAACATAAGGATAAGGAACTGTAAGGTCACTATACAGTCAAATGTCAAACAAACCAGAACTAGTGCCATCTCAGATCTGTGTGCTGTTGTTATTGTTTGTTCAGAGTCTGATGCTGCTGTTGACCTTTGTTCATATCCTGATACACTGCCCTCACTGGTCATGAGCTTATTGCATCTTGCATAGCATTCATATCTTAGGATCTGCTCCACCGTATTCTGAAAGATCACAGGACACCCAAGCTATGGTAAATATATATCAGAAGCTTGACTGTTGCCCTCAATCTAGCATATTTTATATACTATGATACGATTATAAAAATATAAAAATAACAGAACCATATATCTGTGACATTATTGTTAATATTGAGGAGCTTCGCTAGCAGTGCTTTGTTTGAAGTATATAACTCCAAGGCATAATCGAAATGCTGCTTAATGTAAGGGAGTTTGTCTGTAATTTAGCCATGTTCCAGCTCCTATTTTTTGTTTTAATGAGACTTTTGATGATGTTTTTTATTCTAATACTAATAGATGAGGATGGAGGGTAGTATGTTAATTATTGGAGCACAAAATCTTTAAGACGCAAGTATCTCAAAACTACTCCGAACACAGACATTTTAATATGTAAAATGCCTATTTGCAAGCAGCGCAAGCACGTGTGCGGGTGTGTCCAAGCATGTGTGTGTGTGGTTCGTGTGTGAGGTGACTAGCCCTGGGCTGATAGGGAGAGGCATGTGGTCACCATTTAGAAGGATTAGGACTGTCAGGGACATCAACCACGACTAATTATTCTGTTAGTACACTACAGGGATGTGTGTGTGTGTGTGTGTGTGTGTGCGTGTGTGTGTGTGTGTGTGTGTGTGTGTGTGTGTGTGTGTGTGTGTGTGTGTGTGTGTGTGTGTGTGTGTGTGTGTGTGTGTGTGTGTGTGTGTGTGTGTGTGTGTGTGGCTGCAGGCAGGGAAAAGATGGAGGGAGAGTAAAGCTGGAAAAAAGAGAAAGATGGAAGACAGATGGAAATGAATAAAGCCAGACAACAGAGAGAAGGAGAGGAGCACTGAGAGCTACTGTTAATACCCAGAGAGAATACACTGTCTGTATGAAAGATGGATTGATAGGAACAGAGTAGAAAAACCCTGTGGTGAAATGAGATGAAGGTATGGAGATTGGAAAGAAGAGTAAGAGGGAGATGTTAAAAAAGGAGGAATTAGAGGGAGAGAAGAGCGGTGACCTACCTCATGCCTTCATGGATGACTGCATTTGTATCCAAACATCCCAACATGCACTGCTCTGCCACTCGGGGCAAAATCTGCCTGCAGCACCCAATCAGCCGTGGCCTTTTACCACCTCGCCGTGGGGCAGAGTGTGTGCAAGCTGAGTAAGTGAGTGTATTTGTGTTTGTGTGTGTTTGCATGTGTGTGAGTTCAAGCGTGAGGGCGCACACACATCTGTTAATGTGTGTGCGTTTATGGATACAGAACTCCGCACTACACTGCCTCTCTGATTTATCTTCAAACAGACAGCTCAGCCATCTCGTCTCCCACACCTCCGCTTCTCTCTTCCTCTTTCCTCTACTCTCCATCTCTCTGATGCTTACCGCCAATCCATCCATCCTCCAAATATTTCACCTCTCCTCCCTTCCCTTAATCCATCTCTTCTTCCAATCATTTTACTCCTCTAGCCATTTCTCCATGCTTCTCTATATCCATCCCTCCATCTGCATTTACTTCCCTGCGGGGAAGACAATTTCCTGAATCCCACTGAAGTGGAAATATTTCACATTTAATACTTCCCCCACTCTTGTGGTGTGCCCAAGCTTCAGAGGAAGGGGTTCAAAGGAGAAGAAGGTGTGAGGACTGAAGAGAGATTTTTGATGAGTAGATGGATGGAAACGTTGGTGGCATTACCTTTATCAAAACATGTCTGTCAGTCTGAATCTTTCAAAAAGTAATTTCTCTGGAAGACTAAGAAGCTTTAATGTTTTAGCGTGCTAATAATTTGATATTTTTGGTCACATGTAGAGTAAAATAGACGGTAAAGCTTAGTTAGTGGCTTTCACACCTTTCACAATGTTTCTTTTTCATTGTTCATAACCATAGCTTTCATTAGCACCATCTGAATATCATGTGAAAAAACAGGAAATTACACTTTAGATGTGAAGTTTTTGTCATTTCTCGAATCACTGACAGAAGATTACCAAGAAGATATGCTTGTTGCTAGGTAATACGAACACTTTTAAAAGTAGATGAATGACTGTGGAGCAGCTGGCAGGACTTGATCATAACAACACATATTTGAAAACACTCAGGCCAAAGATTTTCACAGCATAACAACAATAAAAAGTGAGAATCTGTCATTGGTTGGAGTGGACTTTCTTTAGAGTCTCTACACTGATAGTGCTGAGATGGATCAGACAACTATTACCTTGACAGCCATCAGTCAGAAGCGAGACACATGGTGTGGGTGTGATAGTTATTAATGAGTGCATGGGACTTACAGCGTACATCCATCAACAGTCACAAACATAAATGAACATGCAACAGAGGAGCGTAAGGGAAGTGATGTCTTACACAATAAAGTGACAGCAGCTTTCTGACTAAAAACACTTCTCCACCTTTTTTTATTTACTCTTACTTCTCAGAAAGTTCCATCCCCACCTTCCCATCTCTGTTCTCTTCCATTCGTTATTTCCCTTCTGCTTCATCACTCCTTCCCTTCTCGTGTTATGTAAACATGAAAATAATGCGATTGGTTGATTCTTTGATTCTTATTTACGGTTGCAACCACAGACTTTATGTATACCTTCGAGGGTTAAGCTGAGTACAACCTGAACACTGACAAGAGTTTTACTCCACAAAATTGTTAAAATTGACTGTTACTGCCAGATAAACATCTGCATCTAATGCAGGATGAATGGCAGTCATGTGGAGAACAGTCACATTTCGCTTTATGATCAGTTCAAGCTAAATACAGTAAATAATTGCATCTTCTTCCTATAAGTTTGTTCTTAAAGCATGCTGGGAGCTATAAGCAATCAGCCAAATTCAATTCATAGGGATATCACCAGAAAGTACAGCCATTTATTCTAGCTGTACAGGGATTTCAAACTACCTCAAGGTTCAAACATGAACTGCATATTGGATATCCTTTTATGAAAAAATGTACATTAGGAAGTGCAACACACTTCAGTATTATATGGGTGAAAAGACTGCAGAACACAATTAAACATTCAAATAGAGCAATAGAGAGTCTGTTAACCCTATATTTAGCTTGAAAGCCTTTTTGTTTTGATTTTGTAATCTTATTTACTTTTACATATGGTGTGTGATTTAACTCCTTTTTTGTAAAAGGGTTATTACCAGAGCACGTCATATGTTTGATTTAGGTTCATAACTGATGCATTATGTTTTGACACACAAACTATGGATGCAGGTCTGTATCTTGAGTTTGCTTGATTTCCTTTTGGCTATGCTTGCCTCTTACTCATTCAGTATAGGCTCAATGTTTGATTAAGTCAAAAGTGTATTCACTTCTGTAACATCTTGAGATCTGGTTTGATGAAGATGGAATGGGTATTACAATATATTTATCACAAGGTTCAGCCTGTAAGGTATAACACAATATTAATACCATCTGATTTTTGAAATCGACAGTCTGTCAGTCCCGGGCAGCGTTTAAAGCCTGGTGCGTACTGCTCTCTGTTGGTCAGTATGTTGTATTACACTACAAGTGAATGGCAGTCAACTGGGTTCCTATCCCTCAATGCCATTCATCAGTGTGTTCATGCAAACAAATGTGATAATGATGAACGCTCATTGCTCCCATGTGACTCCCCTCACTTAATGTTCGTCAACAATATGCCTCTATCTTGTTTATGTTTGTGTACTACTTATTCTGTCACATGCTTGCCGTAAATAAGAAATGGGAATAAAGAACACACAGAATCAAAGGAAAAGTATTTTATTTTTATCTTTTTCGATGGTGGATTTGGATTTGAAAGAATGAAAGGGAGAATAGAGAGCTAAACGATGCAGAGAAAAAAGGGAAACAAAGACAAAAAGCGTAGACAATTAATGTCAAATTATGGGAGCATGCATGGAGCATGCCAAGTACATTTGCTACCAAAACTGAAAATTAATCATCATCTTGCGGCTGTCAACGGATAATATTCACATCTAATTGGGACAAAGTGATAACCAATGGGGCATTTCAAGTGTGTGTGTTTGCTATGAGAGAGAGCATTTTTATATTCTCTTTACAGTCGAGAGGTTACAGCAGGTGGCATGTGGCACATTGTGGATACTTCTACTTTTTAGACCAACTAAATATCACTGCAACAGATTTCAATGCATTAATTAGCACCTTGTTAAGTGCATTGGAGAAAATAAATGTATAAATGAGTGGCATGGTTAAACTGAAAACTGAATCATTTATCTATCTACTTATTAATAGTTTTCTTGGTCTTTATATTGTAATTATATCAAACTGATTACAAATACACAATCCGTCTGTGGTTATAGCCTACATGTTATGGTAAAGGTGAGGGTAAACTGATAAGACACACATATCTCCTAATTTCATGCAAGGAATGTCAAATCTGTTCATGACAAATCAGTTGTTAAATCAAAGTCATAAAAGTGGGATAATAAATCACTTAATAGCCGGAACAGTATTAACGATAGTAGTTTATAATCTATATGAACTCAAACCCATAGACTGTAAAACTCAAACCCCTTTCCTATGGTACGCATGCGCAGCGCGCCATTGAAGGAAACAGTGTGAGAAGTGCGTGAAGTGGGTCGAGACTTGACACGAAATCTGAGATTTTACTTGATCCGCGGTCCAGTTTTAAGGATGTAAAGCTACAGGTTGCGGACAAGGACTTAATCAAGCATGTTTTTGTAAGCAGCTTGCAGAATCGATGAAGATAATCCAGGAATTGTACAGGATCTGCACACCCTACTGCTCGCCCCGTCGGTAACTTCGGACAGAGGCAGGGCTCTGCTGCTAGCTGCTACACCAGCTAAGCTAAGGTAGCTATTTACAAAGCCTTATGTCGTTATTAATGTGGGTAATGTCCGCAGTAATGACTCTTACATGTCTAATATGTGTAATATGTGTAATGTGTACTTGTAAAGCGCTTTGAGCACCTGTAAAAGCGCTCTAATAAAAAAATGTAATGCATTATTATTATTATTATTATTATTATTATTAATTGAGGGAACTTATACCAACCAAGGGTTTCACAGTAAAACTGTACTTTGACATTACATATCGACCTGTTTGTGCCGCGGCGTCCCTGCTCACCTCCTATTTGCATGCTATATTTGCTACTGTGATATATCAACATGAATCCGTGCTAGCTGATATGTTTAGTAGCAGGAACATGGATGTATAATAAGAAGAGCAGGAAGCTAGTCAAGCTCACATCAAGCTAACCGAATGAACGTCTGTTTCCGGTCAAAAACCGAAAGTGTTTAACTTGTGAAATTTATTTGACAAGAAATATATAAATATGTTGGCCAACATATATTGCATTAAGGTTTGATTAGTATTGCGTTTGAGACGTTTGGAACTTTTTTGTTTTTACAAACAACACCTACACTAAACTAAAGTACTTAAATGGTTGACTATTAGTACATGCTATGTAAAAGGTTTAGGTATAATACGTTCAAGCTTCAACCTACACTCGTTAATAAGACGTATTTGGGCATAACATGTCAATTAATTTACTATCACAGACTAAAATGACACTATGTGTATAACTTGTAATAGTTATCTAATGTCATGGGGTTTAGGTTCTTCTCGAGCTCAACAGTTCTTATTAAAAGTACATTTGTGATTGTTGTTTTACATATTGAAAAAAATAGTTCCATTGCGTTTTGTTAAAATGTTAGCTTTTATTTTTGAAGAGGGGGATTGTTTACTTCCGGTGAGTTGTGTCCGGGAAGTATGCAGTAACTTCCCGGGGAGACGGCAGCCAGAGTGGCGCCGCAAGCTTGCTACAAGAGGCACGCAAAACAACTTAACCCTAACTTCTATCCTAGAATGAACAGTTCAGGGGTTTTAATTAAATTAGACACAGGTGCATACAATATTACTTCGTCAGGTGATGAGGTAATTGCTTAGCTAGCATGTTATTATACTGATAAATATTCTGTTAAATCGTTACAGTAGCGTTTCTGATTCATGCCTCCTGCCTGCTCCTCAGATTCAAATAGAAATATCATGTTCATCAGTTTTACCTAAAAAGCTGAAATGTTAACCAGAATTAATCTATAGGGTGGCAGTAAAGTACAGCCTTTATCTAAAAAATGTGCAATACATAAAACACAGGCAATTTACAGCCTGACTTTCTTGGTCAGTTGCAAGTTCCTTCGATACTCCAACTAATACAACAGCAATACAACTTTTCATATTAGGCACATTTTAAGAAATATACATGTTTTTTTTATCATAATGAAATCTTACATCGGTATCACGCTAAACAAATTAACAGCACAACAATGTACAGCCTGATAAACGACTATAATTTTCAATCAACATACTTCTCAAACAGTTTGATCACAAATTTGCAAATTATCCTTTTTTCAGATTTTGTCCCCTTCCTTCCTGATGCTGGGGGTCTTGTGAGGACACACATCTTCCTCAACTACAGCTGAAGTTCTGTCAAGATAGTCTCTGCTGAGGCTTCCTGATTGAGTGAACCACATATAGATATATTCTCAGAAAGTGCAGTGAGAGAGAGAAGTCAAGATGTCTATCACCAACACACCTACCAGCAATGATGCCTGTCTGAGCATTGTGCACAGCCTGATGTGTCACAGACAGGGTGGTGAGAGCGAGACGTTTGCCAAGCGGGCCATTGAGAGCCTGGTGAAGAAACTGAAGGAGAAAAAGGATGAGCTTGACTCCCTCATCACTGCTATCACCACCAACGGGGCCCATCCCAGCAAGTGTGTGACCATTCAGAGGACTCTCGATGGACGACTGCAGGTAGGAACACACAGTCACCTGGATCATAGATTTAATAAACACAGGGTTATGAATAACATTTATTTTCTACACGTTAGTACATCTGGCCCAGGGCGTAAAGTTTGGTGGGCCAGATGCACTTGACCATTGTGTTTTTAATCTAGTCTGAACAAGCTGCTCTAGTGGAAAACGGGTTGCGTTCTTTGACACTGCGTTTGACCTCAGCTGTAAGGGTAGTGAGTATACAAATGATTTAACGCTTTTTCCCTTTATTCTTCCTCTATCTTTTTGATTTTTGTTGTTCCCAGGTGGCGGGACGTAAAGGGTTCCCTCATGTAATCTACGCGCGGCTGTGGCGGTGGCCTGACCTGCATAAGAATGAACTGAAGCACGTCAAATACTGCCAGTTTGCCTTTGACCTTAAGTGTGACAACGTGTGTGTCAACCCCTATCACTATGAGCGAGTGGTGTCTCCTGGCATAGGTGAGTAATAGGGAAGCTTCCAGTTAGTTTTTTTTAAATTGGTAAAATGTTTATTGGGCTCTTCAGAACCTATTAAAACTAAACACAACTTCAAAAAAACACTGTCTAAAAGATGTTGTTCTAGCTTACTGATCATTAAAATGTATGTAAAACGATAAAGAAAAGGCCGTTCAATGCAATTTAATACAGTCTCTCTTAACTGTGACTCTTAAATAAAGAAGAGGACATCAACAGAATAAAAATGAATAATTATTTATTCAAATTGAAAACACAAGTTATTTTGTTCACAACTACTCTCTTTATTTATACATTTACTATTACATAGTCTATTTGTATTTTTAAGCAAAAGTCAAAAAGTTCATCGTTCCCTTTCTATTCATCTTTTTGTAAAACACTGTGGGACTGGATCACATGTGTAAATTGTCCCTCACTAACATGTTCCGCCCTTCGATCCTGTTCCTCGTGCACAGACCTATCAGGACTGACTCTGGCCAGTTCTGGCCCCAGCTCCGCTCTGATGGTGAAAGATGAGTACGACTTTGATGGTCCGCAGAGTCTGCCCTCGATCGACGGAGGGCACTCCATCCAGACCATCCAGCACCCCCCCTCCACCAGCCACCCGGCCCCCTCTGAGCCCTTTGCCACTCCAAACCTTCTCCCCCCTGCTGAGGCCTCCACCTCCGCCTCTTCGTCAGCTTTTCCTGCCATTTCTGCTGGATCAGGAGGTTAGTACAGTTGTTAAATATTCCTTTATGTATCATGATGTCTGCATTTGTTTATGCAATACAGTATGTGTGTGTAATTTGAAAGTTCCTGTAAACATTTTACTGTCTCACTCAAAAAATATGACTTCAGAAATAGAATGGATTAAGTCATTTCAATTTAAATCATGAGTAAAAGCCTAGTGTTCTTTGTTTTGTGAATTATTGATTCGGTTCTCTTTATCTGTGTCTGACTTCTGTTGTCCTTTTCTCCTCAGGTGCCAGCGCCAACTGGTCGAGGAACAGCAACTTCAACCCCAACACACCCCACCACACAAACGGCCATCTACAGCACCACCCCCCCATGCCACATCCGACACACTACTGTAAGTACACTGTCACTACAGCTTCAAGTTAATCTACAGACGAATAGCTTTATAGATTGCATTTACTTCAAAGTGGGTGATCACTGACATTTCTCTCTGTTTCTCTCAGGGCCGTTGCATAATGAGCTCGCCTTTCAGCCTCCTATATCCAACCATCCAGGTGAGAACACAAAATCCAGAAGTACATAGACCTTGGGCTATTTTTTCTTGGTGTTTTAGAAAACAGTGTGAATCAATTTGACTAACCGCGCATCGATCTTTACAATTATTTGATTCATAGAGTGATGTCCTTTTTTCCGCTATCATTCTTCATTGCTAAAGCAGTATTTCCCATTTCAACTGTTGCTTCAAGTGGGTGACTACATTAGATATAAAGCTTTGTTAATATGCTGGGTTTGATTGCCTCTGGGTCAACGTTTGATTGTCATTATTACATCAAATGTACAAGTTACTTTCAAATTATACATATAGTGCTGAAACAATGAAAATAATCGATTCAAAAATATCCTTGTTTAATAATGGTTTTTACAAATGTATCAAATGAAAACGTGGCTTGTTTGTCTTCATTTCTGTACTATGAAAATATACCTTTTTATAAATAGCTTGACAAGGAAAAATGTTCATTCCTGAAATGAAACTGTTGACATTAGTTTTCTCCCTTCTGTTTCAGCTCCTGACTACTGGTGCTCCATTGCATATTTTGAGATGGACGTTCAGGTCGGGGAGACGTTTAAGGTCCCCTCTTCTTGCCCCATTGTGACAGTGGACGGCTATGTGGACCCCTCAGGAGGAGACCGCTTCTGCTTGGGTCAGCTCAGCAATGTTCATCGCACTGAGGCCATTGAGAGAGCAAGGTAGGAACCATAATAACTAGGGATGCACGATATTGGTTTTTTGAAACCGATACCGATACCGATAACTTCCTGCTTCTCAAGACCAATACCGATAACCGATAATAAAAAAAAAATTACGCCACTAATTATTTTAACGCGATTAACGCATGTGTATTTTTTTTCCTCGGCCGCCCCGTAGTTTCAGAGCGCATCGAGTTTAAAATACCATCTACAAGCTGATGCTGACAGCCCCGCTCCTGCCGCCCGCTTGTGGCAGACCACACTTCCACGCTCACCGGCAGGCACCGACTGGCCATCTGGAGGACCGGGAGGGTGTGTGTATGTGTGGCCCGAGCGAGCGAGAGAGAGACCTTACGTGCATTGTTGTTGTTAGCATCTGGTGCTAGCTAGCTGCGCTAACGGTTATAAGGAGCTGTTTAAATGAAAACAGAGGAGCGACATTTCGCCACAACTGCGCCGAGCACTTGACTTTATGCAGGAAGCCAGACAGTGGGACATTGTACGAAAAGTCTGCACACTCAGCACGGATAGTGCAACATGATTGCAGCGTCCAGGCAGCTCCGGTTCGAGCATATGTCTTGAGTTGCACATAGCTCCAACGCCCATACCACCGACGACATGTTTGTTTACTGTCCTGGCTTCACGGCCGCACACCATTTACGTCACAGCCAGGCATGAGTTAGGGAGCGCTGGATTTGTGAAGAACTCCCCTCTTCCTAAACCACTAATACCACAGTACTGGCAAAACGGGAGGAGCCGAGTGAAAAACAAGCGCCCCTCATCCCAATCCACCCACACCGCAGTATTTTTTTCTTTTTTTTTACCCAAAAAATATATTGTATATTATCGGGGATATTAATACTGGTATCGGGTTTATCGGGATGACGTCATAATTCCTAATATCGGACCGATAATTATCGGGCCGATAATTATCGTGCATCCCTAATAATAACTTTCAACAGTTATACGCACGCTTGCTGCTATTGTAGGCCTATAAGGTCTTAAATGTAACTAGATAGGATCTAAAATGAATGCTCTACTGTTGTGTTCACTGCAAATAATCAAGAGATGTATCACTTAACAAGAACAACCTTGTCTGTTTTTCTGTTTAGCCCCAGCATGTTTTGTGTTTCCCTCTGTACAAGCGTCCTTGGGTTTATGAAAGGCGCTATATACATTTAAGTTGTTATTTTTTACATCAATCATTTACAAAATAGAGATTCTGCACCCCGGTTAGAATTGCTCAAGCTGATCCATGAAGCACTATTTCGATGCTGACTATCATGCTATCCTACCTGCTTCTTAAGATTGATATTTATTTAGGCTTAGATTAAATTCTGCTTCACTTTGCTGTGGTAAGGACATGCAAAATCAAACAAATATGGATGGGAAACACTACGTTTATACATGATTAAAGCCAGATCAATACATTCATAAACATAAAAATGTTTAGGATTTATTTCATTCATAGTAACAGAATACACATTGGTATAAATATGGTCTTAAACTCATATTGTAACTTGTTGAAACCTGCAGAAACTCTATAATATAATCTTTAGATGTGTGTTAGATGCAGATATAAATATCCCAAAAATATTAAGGCCAAATACATTTTCTTAGGTGTATCTTTGGTTAGAGTATGCACTATTGTTCTACCCATTTCACACTTAAAAGCGCTACCACAATGTCATCTGTTAAAAGCTCAGAAGCACATGTTGATCCAAGATAACATCGTCTAACCTTCTTTACATTTGGTTCCTTTTATTTCTTCCTGTTTAGTTAAAAAATAAGCTGAGAATATTCTTGTCAAAAGGATGTAGAATAATGTTTCATGACTAGGCCACCAAATGGTTTGTATTTGTAATTCTAACATGACAAAGGCATGCAAAGGATTAAAAAAACATATAAAGCAACTTTGTGAAACCAATTTAAGTTCTGCATATTTTGCTGATCTAATATGTCTAGGTGAGAATCGTTGAATGCAGACAATAAATGGCTATGTTTACTATGAATACTCAATATGGCAATATTATAACTCTGCTTTATTCCCTTCCTGTTGTCTCCTCTCTTCCAGGCTTCACATAGGCAAAGGGGTTCAGCTGGAGTGTAAGGGGGAGGGGGATGTGTGGGTGCGATGCCTCAGTGACCATGCAGTGTTTGTTCAGAGTTACTACCTGGACAGAGAGGCCGGCCGAGCCCCTGGAGACGCTGTGCACAAAATATACCCCAGCGCTTACATCAAGGTGAGCACATAGTCACTGGACTGTAGAAGGAGGACATCAAAGATCAAACCGTCTCTTTCCATGCGCCCTCCTCATGCATTCTGCTCTGACATTGTTTTTTAAGCTGTTTTCCCCATGCTGCCACAGTCTTCATTTACATTTCTGCTGGTAGTAGGTACTTGCCGCTGAAGGACATTTGTTAACGTCTCCTCTCTCCGCCAGGTGTTCGACCTCCGTCAGTGCCACAGACAGATGCAGCAGCAGGCCGCCACAGCTCAGGCCGCCGCTGCAGCTCAGGCAGCCGCTGTGGCTGGAAATATACCTGGCCCTGGATCAGTTGGAGGAATTGCTCCAGCTATTAGTAAGAAACTTTACTCTATATATACCGATGCACAATCACACAGACACCGGGCGCTGTACAATAGCTGCCCACTGCTCCTAGTACTAGGATGGGTTAAATGCAGAGGTCAAATGTCACTGTGTTTAAAGAGGGTTTCCTCCTCAGATTCTATCGGGATGGTAATAGATGGACATAGAAATGCTCAGTGAAAAATAGTATTTTACATTTTGATTTAGTTACATTTTCTAGTGATTTTTCTTCTACGGTGTTGTTGTCACAAGTCTTTTAAATCTTCAGAAAATATTTCCCTGTCAGAACATCTTGGCCCAAAACCCAGATACTCAGTTGCCTAAAAATTGGGAATTGATTTTCAATTATTCGATTATCATTTTTTCAACTCAAAATAATAGTTATCACTTGAAATCTTCGGTTAATACAATTCACTTGAATCCTATTTCAAATTTAAAAGTTTTTTTCACACAAACTTATCCCACTCACCTGATCTCTCCTGTCCTCCAGGTCTCTCGGCAGCAGCTGGTATCGGGGTGGATGACCTGCGGAGGCTGTGTATTCTCAGGATGAGTTTTGTTAAGGGCTGGGGTCCCGACTACCCCCGGCAGAGCATCAAGGAGACCCCCTGCTGGATTGAGATCCACCTGCACAGAGCCCTCCAGTTACTGGACGAGGTTCTGCACACTATGCCTATAGCAGACCCTCAACCTCTGGACTGAGATGCGCCCCCACCCCCGCAGCATCACACTGCAGCATACAGCGGCTACGGAGAGTCGTCCTCAGTGAACCGTGTGGAGAATCCAGTGAAACAGCTGTGACACTGTAGCTGTCCCACATGAAAAAATAAACATTCAGGTGTTTTTGAGGTACCTTTGTGCACTGTGGCCCCTACTTTTGCTTTTTTTCAGCATTAGTGACACTACAATTAGCTAAAGCCATATATTAAATAAAGATATGTTGCTCTTTATTTTTGATATATGGCTTTGATTTGTTATGACTGGAAAGATGAGTAGACAGTTACAAAGCAACACATCATAATGATAGATGACCTGAAGATCCCATGAAACTGGAATGTACAGCGACTACTCAGTCCACAACTACTGACAGACATCAGACTCACTGAACAATGGAAGAACGCCTGAGGGCTGTACAGCTGCGGGATGAGTGTCTGAGCACCAGGAGAGTGCTGCTGGTTTCTATTGTGTCAGACTGCTTCACACCTGGCATGACAAGCAAGTCTGGTCCGCGATCAGCCATCCACGAACATCACACAGAACGGAAGGACAAGCGCCATGCCTCAAGCCGACTCACTCTCTGAACTGAAACGAGGTCAAGTCTAGGGGCTTCTCTGTGATTGGTTATGGGTTTTATGGAGGTCCAATGACAAATATTTTTTATTTCCTCTTCTCAATTAAACAAGATCCCCACTTTCACAAGACAATATTGTCCTTCAGTGGCGTCATGACATGCAAAGTTAAATGGCAATATATCTGTTTTTACCAACTATCTGTGAAAATATTATTTCTCCACTCACTCAAATGACAGGAGGCTCATCAATCATTCGTCGTTGGTAAATCTCCACCCTGGTCTCCTCTCACCAGACAGCTGGTCTTAGATGTATGGAGTTTAATCATGGTAAAAGCAACAAAGTGTATCAATGTTTGGGCAAACCAAAGTATTCATTACTCAGAAGCAGTCTTGTGTGATCATGAGAGAAGTCCAGTGGACGTTCATTTGGAAATTAAATTGAATTTTAAAGGGGATTATGTTTGTTTTCTTTTCAATTGTATGTCTCTTTATCTCCAACCATACCCGACACTCTCCACACAGTTGAGAAATATTGAACTGAAATATCTTATGACTTGCAGCCCGCCTACTTGATCAAGGTTTCTTGTGTATAGTTTACTGACACAAATACAAGACAATTTCACAGCAATATTGACTCTTTTTTTGGGTTCTATTTTTGTTACTTTATTAACTGATTTGTATTGTAATTTTAGCACTTTCATTTTTTCAAGTTTTTAATTCAATAACCCTAATTTGAGTTGGTTGTCCTGCAATGTGGAAAAGGGAGTGAATAGAGTGGTTTATATTTATGTAGGATTGTGAAAAGACGCATCTTTGTGTACATTAGTATTAAAAACATGTAACACTAAGTCACATTTTTAAAGACTGTTTTTGCCCTTTCACTTTTACACACTTGTAGTTTGGAGTTGCATTTAATTTTTTGGATTTGCAGTTTTCTTTCTTTTTTAATCCATGTAAATATATTTGTTTTTGAAAAGTATGTCAATGTCTGCATGATTTGAATGGCAAATAGACCCTTTTATATCTAACCCTTTTTGAAATGGAGTACTTCACTTGCCCTGCATTAAACAGGGAAACTGGACTCCGTGGAGTGTAGAAAACTGGAGTGCTGCTGGTTTATGACAAAAGCATTTAAGGCAAACCGAGGGAAGCTACATAGTCATAACTAAGGGAAAATATCCAAATTTAAGAACATAAACTCAAATTGCTGGAACCTAAGCTCCTCTGAGGCATAATTTGTTTAAATACAATAACTCTAAAATTAGAAGACACATTTTTCTCACAGGTGTAGAAATAGGTGAAGATAAATTGACACACATAAATAGATATGAAGTCCCATCTCATCTGCCCGTGCATCTTTTGTTTTCTTTGGCTTTTTTTCACAGCAAATCGCCATACAGTAAATCCTGTCTGAACATATGTATCTGACAAGACATTTAAAACATGTATTTGTGTATTTTTCCCTTTGAACAATGCTGTCTTTGTGGGTTACAGATAACATGGAAAAATACACACTGCATACTCAGCTGTGGTTTCTTTCCTTTTACTCATCTTTGATAATTCACTATCATTTGAAAAGCATTGTTTTTTTTCAAACAGCACGAATAAAAGTCAGGTTTTTGGATTTATTACCATAATTATGCAACTGATTATTCAGGAAACAGGATATTTTAAGATTATGTTACTGAAAGAAGTGATGCTGAATTTTGTCTGGAGAAATAATGTTATGTTTGGTCGTGCTTTAAAGGTGGGGTAGGTAATTCACTTCAGAAACACTTTTTGTTATATTCCATGGAATGCTCTTAACATCCCGATAGCAATAAATACATTAAATGCTTTGACAATAAATACATTAAAAAAATGTCATCTGTGGAAGCCGTAGCCCTGTAAAAAGCACGACCAATCATCTGAGCCGGCCCGGCTAAAGTAACTGGATGGCCTACCTGCCTGTCAGCCTTCCATCTGTGCACAAACTTATCTCGTGCCCTCATTGGTCATGTGCGCGTTCGTGTGTGTTGGAGGAGGGGCTCTGTAAGGAAGTCTGAAGGAAGGGGCATATTTTTTAGTGCACTCGAGCTGGTTTCCATTCTTACCTACCCTACCTTTAAGGTGGACAGATGTTTTTATATTACTTGCAGTTATTATAGGAGCCTAAAGACACGGCTCAAAGGAGTTGATGTTGACTACTATGACAGATTGCAGATATACATTTGACCTGTATTTCTTATGTGAGAGTCTTTAATTAAACATGGCCGGATATTCTCTAAATGGTGACCTGTTTATTTTCTATAGAAACACAACATGAAATAAGAAGACATAACCAACATGAAGAGGTTACAGTATTACGTTTTTTTCAAAGATAGATTTTCCTCTTGGGAGCTGGTGGCTCAATTGAACACATCGCACCATTTAATATAATGTTTTATTTCAAAGAACTGCAACCCACACGTGTTTTCAGTTTTTGCCCAGGTTGAATTTGGTTGTTGGGATTTATGTAGGTGTATCAAAATACATCTTGGTATGTCATAGCATGAAAAGCACAGCTGTATTAAATTAAATGAAAAGTGCACTCAGTGGAGAGCAGTCCTCCGCCAGGTGTTGTATCTCCATAGTTGTTGACAGTCAAGACAGAAAACTGAAAATAAAAAAGGATTTATTTATCTCAGCGTGAAGTTAGTTTTTGGTTGTTATATTTGACAGACTTTCACTCTCCCTCCAAGAGTTTTCAATTATAAACCTACTTGAGTATAATGGAAGCCATTGAAACAAAATGTAGACTTTTCAATTAAAAACAACTGTAGAGTCAAAAAAATTACATTTTACATTTTAACATAAGGGGTGTGTCGTCTTTTTTAGTGTAGTAACACTATCTGGTATTGATTTGGACTCACTGGGTCACATGACATGGAATCTCATGTAAAAAACTGAAATTATTTATTACATATTTTTTGTTTAATCAATGTATGACACATTCGGAATAAAATTAAAGGTGTACATTTTAGTTGTTTACCAATTATGGGCACGTTGGCCCAATGCTATTGAAAATATTGTTATTACAATGGTACTTTATTGATTGACCCCAAGTGAAATCCTGGGGTTTTAAATTGCCATCCATAATCTAAATGATGTGGTGTTTAAACACCGTCACAAACCTCAGAAGATGTCTCGTCAGGCAACAGATTAACGTCTCCTGTATGGGTGGCTACTCACCAGTCCATCATTTATTTGATCAAATGCTTTTCTGCTGTAAATGAGGTTCAGAATCCCCCTAATTCAATAAAACATTGAGTTAGTTAAAGGTCCCCTATTATACTGTTTTTCATCAATATATTATAGGTCTCAGATATACAAAACATGTCTCTGAAGTGTTTGGCTCCAAATACCAAACAGATATTGTAGCATCCCATAAACCCCTCTGTTTCAAAAGTGCTGATTCTCTGTCTGTTACTTTAGATGAAAATAAGGAGCCACTCCCCGATAGATATTTGGTTAAAAATAACACAATCGTGCTCTAGGAGGAGATTCAGGCGATAAGGGGGGTACCTTGGTTGGTGATTGGCTAATGGTTACACAAGCCAAACAATCGTTATGACATCATAAAGTGGCCAAAATCTGATCAGCTCATTTTCAGACAGGTTTTTATATAAATGGATCAGGACAAAAAGTGAGCAAATCTTTTTTCCTGAAACTTTCAGAGTCTCTTTACACAGAGGGGACACATGTTTGTGTTTAAAAGACATGAACAAGTGGATTTTGGATAATATGTGACCTTTAAGACACTGAGGTTATTTGTGTGAGTTTCAAACAAATATATTCAAGTTAAACCACATACTCATGAGATTACTTTTTTTGGCTGTGAAATGCTTACACTATCACACACGTTAATGCTCTTTACCCATGATAAACCCACATTGGTGATTTTAAGAAGTTTGAGTGTGTGGGCAAATAGTGTTACTGCAAATGTATGACCCTGTAATTGCCAGCCTATACAAAACAATTAGTCTCACTAGTTTGATGTTTTATTTTGGTTGGAACTGATTAAAACTAGAACTAGGGGCCTGTTTATCAAAAGGGGTTTGCAAGAACCATTTACAAGCAGATAGAAATTATGAAAAGTAAATGTTTATTATTAGGGAAACCTGTCAAAATCAGGTAACAAATATGGTGAAATATTCCCCATGTTCATCAAAAGTCTGTCAGAATGCAAAACACGTTAAAAAAACATTTGACTTAATGAATCACACCAGTCAGACACTTCTTAAAATGAAACCGTCTTTATTAAGTAACTTTAATATCAGAAAAATAAAACTCTTAAATTCTCTTTACAGCAAATATATAATATCAGTGCTTTGGCCGCAATAACTTAAAAGGCCGTTATAAAATATAGTCTGCTTTTAAACTCCTGACTTAATTTGAAGAATTTATATGCCATAAGACTCCTCCGACATATACATAACAAGTGTAGTAAAATTAGCAAATACTTTGAACTGTTGGTACAGCTTAACAATATATGTATTTATATATAGATAATCTAAGTATACCGTTCTTAATTTGGTGGCGTACAGACATGACAGGCAGCTTGAATCCTTGGCCTTTTTACAGTTGCAGTGTTATGTTTTACATTGGCTGTACATGTATATGAAGACATGCTCGTGATGCACATTCCATTCTCCTCTAAACGGCAGCTATCAATACGATTATCATCAATACTGTAAACTAATAACTAGACTACAAGCAGATAGCATTGACACCCTTCTGCAACATTTCTGGGTTTCCAACTCTTCATTCAATTGATCACTCAGAAAAGTAAAAAAAAATTAAAATCTTATTGTAAACATTTTAATATAGATATATTTGTGTATATATATGAAATGTAACAAAATAAAAATAAGTTCTGTATATTCATCAGTCACTAACAGTAATATCATATAATACATACACAAAAATGTCAATAAACTGAGGGCTAACAGTGTATTGCATTCCCTCCGAGAGAGAAAGAGAGATCCACCCTTCGTAGAGCTGAGAGAAATAAAATAAAAAGGACGGAGCGAAGACCCAAGGGGCAAAAGCAGATGGGTTTTTTGCACTTTTGGGACTCCTTTGGTTCCATTTCCTTGAGAAAGCTCAATCACCCATGAAAGATGATATTTAAGAAACGGAAGTATAGAATAACTCCCAAATACCGTTTACAGTTGGAATGCTAGACAAAAAGTAAAGCAACAGTATTGACCTCATGTAGTGTCAGTCCCAGATTAAATCATGCCAGCTGGCTCTCCTTCCAAATGTCCCTCAATTCATTTAATCCTGTAAAACTAAGTCTAGAGACACTGGCGTTTAAAGCTAAGATTTGAGATGATTTCCACCTATTTGTACCTTTTTCCATCGCTTTCCAGGAGGAGGAACAGACAGATAAACATTGAAAGGGGGTGCACAAAGATCAGACTGTGTGTTGGAGGCCGTACTTGTCAAAAGTATGATAAGATATGAGGAAGGCTGTGCTAACTAGGGCACAAGAGCAACAGCAATTGAGCTGATGAGACAGGTGAAGCATCTCGTCAATGCATTAGAGCTGGTAATGAAAGTTATCGCTGACTGAAATGTAGAAACTGGTCAAATCAGAAGGGAAATGTCTGTCTGCAGGTTTACGCCCAATATAGTTCAGTTTATCTCCTTGGGTAGTTTACTGAGATGATTTTTGCATAGGCCTGGTAGACGAGACATTGATGGCTGCAGTCTCAATTTTGCATCCTAATATAATTATTTGCTGTCTGCTAACCAACCAGGACACAACATGGCTGTGAGGAGCAGGGTAAGTGAATTGTCAAAAAAAAGTAACTGTAATACAGGGAGGAGGAATGTTTCCAAAGGGACAAGATGTGCATATATCTCTGGCAGAAAATCAGCACATGGTTTCCAAACAAGGATATCATTGAGAAATAAACAAAAAACAATAAGTGGAAATGTAAGTAAAATAAATGGGAGTGTTTGGTGATAACAAATAGATGGTAAATATTTGGGAAAAGCTCACTAAAAATGGGAAGCAAAAAAAACCCATCCCTGTTAGATAACCTTTGATCAACAGAGAGGCATTTAAGAGTTTAAACTTTGAAGAATACATTAAGACCTCTGTTAGCGTGATCTGAATTGGTAGATAGTGTTGTCAGTTAGTTACAGGCTCTCCTTAAAGGCCACAAGTTTGTTTTAAGACAAACAACACTGCGTCCACTCGGCACTTTTTGTTCAAATTTTGTTTTTTCAAACATCATTTTTGTTTACTCAAAATGGAATTAGGCACAAGTTTACCGTAAACAGTTTTTTAAAAGGTAGAAACGTAAAGCAACGTAACATCCTGGTACTCAACAAAGGGAAGTTAACCACTTGTTGGTTCTAGTCTGGGAGAGAAGGAAGCCTGAGGCAACAAGAGGTTGCCCCTGGAGTGTGAACCATTTACAGTTGTGGGTTTGACCCACTTGGTTTAAAACCCCTTTGTGGGTATGTTTACGTGCTGCGTCACTATGCTTTTGATACAAGCAACTCAAAAACTGAGATTTTTCCACTGGAGCCTGTAAACATCATATTCTGTTTAAATATAACAGACACACCTTGCTCGATATTTACACACATTTTCAAGGGTAGTGTGGCATTTTCCAGGATAATGTAGTAGGCATTACAATTCTGTGGTAACCAGGAGAATACTATTAGTTTAATCATATTAATATATGGGGCTCATATGTAAACATGCTCACTTCTGTTTTCCTTGGAGCGAGCACAATAATTGGGAGGCAAAGGGACTTGGCTCTACTTCAGATAAAAACAATTTGTAGCAGCGAATTAAAAAAATAAAACAATGGCGAAAAACTTTTGAGATGTTGACAAAAATTAACCTTGACCTGAAAGCATTATGTTTCTAATATAATTCAAAATACATTTTAAAAATTGATAAAAAATATAGGTAGGCAGAAATGCTTCAGGGAGGAGAACATTTAAATCAAAAATCATGATGAGCAAAATATATATATATCCCACCCCAACCAATGCTACACAGAGGGTTTCCAACCCTCCCATTGATCAATCAATCAATCATGGAAGAAGACTTCACAACAGCAGGCACATGTACGGGCTGAACACCCTAACCCATGCCCTAAATATACATAATTCCTTATTCACCTATTCTTCCTCACCTTTGTCAACCGAACACCAGCTTGGACAAATGTGAGGATATACCTAAACAATGAATTTCCTTACACTTTACAATTTGGAAGTGTGGAGGCTGATCCCTCATCAGCCGTCAATAAATGGATTAAAATCAAATGTTGCGCAGCTGAATGGCCTGTGTGACCGGGGACATGCACACAGGGCAAACAGCGTCTGGACTCTGGCATATATGGGTGGCACAATCTAAACAGAAGAGGTTATGGCCACAGGGAACCAGGGCAGCGATCACCTGGTTATCCATGCAATGCATGCATATTTCCTGTCCCCTCCCTGCTGGTCCAACCCCCGGGCGGTGGGAGAGGGAGGATTCAGGAGGGGAGGAAGAGGAGGCTGTGCTTTCACTGGAAGAGGAGAAGGCCGAGCTGTAAGAGGGGAACCTCTGGACATCATGGGCCCCGGTCGAGACAAAGGGCCCTCGGAGAACTCTCCTGGCCTGAGGGTGCTCCAAGGCTTCTGTTGGAGAGAGCCGGGGCGTTCCTGGCAGACTGTTCTGGAGAAAATGATCAAAACGGGCATTGGATTACATGAGCCTTAAGCAAGTATTTATATTAAAAAAATCTGTTTCTGATTTAAAAACAAGTTTCTTGAATTACTTCATCATTATTGATACTGAGTTTAGACGTCCTTGTTCTTTTCACAATGGGGCAATGGTTAGAAGTACAGGACAATAGGCAACTGACGTAAGCCAAATGTCTTCATTAAACTTGAAAGGTTGGGAGTAAGACAAACTTAAAGTGGACCTATCATGCTATATTTGAATAATATATTATATATATACCTATATAAAACATGTCTGTGAAGTTTTTTTTCTTCAAAATACCAAACAGATCATGCATTTTAGCCATACCTCATTTCGCTCTATTTGCTGTATTCCAGCCCTGTTTTTGCAAGGGCTGATTCTGTGGCAAATGAGCTGCAGCTGACCACGCCCCCCTGAAAAGGAGGGGGGCGAGGCACGAGCGTCATGTTACCATGCTGTTACCATGCCACGTAACCTCTCATTCCCCTGATAGGTGGAGAGTTGGCCATATAGGCGGAGCTCCCAGTTTCTGGCGTCAGAACAATTTCAAATCTGTATCAGTCTGTATCAGATCCGTTGCAGCCCCGTTTTTAGAGATTTTGGTATGGAGGAAAAGAGAGAGGGTTGTGTTTTCTGACACTTGGTGAGTTCCCTGACACACCGGGGACACATATTCATGTATAAAATACGTACAAAAGTGCATATTGCATGATAGGTCCCCTTTAAATAGTGGGATGGTCATAAGGGAGCCATAAAATGTGTGCACCTGCTGAATTTCACCTACCTGAGAGTGACGAGCATCGAAGGCCTGTGGGGGCTGGTGGTCTACATAAGCGCTCCAGATCGGTGGCTGTGCAGCAGGGTGCGATGCTTGGGCAGTGGAGATGGTTAACGGATCGAAGCCGGAGGAAGAGCCTGCACCTCCCAGGCTGACCAGCTCCTCAGGAAGAACGCTGTCGCCAAACCAGAAATTTGCACTGCCACCATTACTGTTGTTGTTGTTGTTGTTAGCATTGGCATTAAACTGACAAGTCGGGCTCAGATCTGCCATTCGGTTACCATTACTGGTGGCGTAGACAGAGTCAGCTGAGCTGGAGCCGCTGCCCAGGGAACTGGAGCTGTCGTTGCGGTAGGTGGAAGACATCCTGATACCGCTGTTGATATTGCTATTGATTCGCTGAGTACCGTTGAGACTCATTGGCAACAGGCTGCCGCCGCCGCCACCATTTTCAGATGATGCACCTGCACGAAGCCATCCGGCCTCCCCCAGCGCAGCTGCTGCAGCATGCTCAAAGCTGACATCTGTCCCATTGTACTGAAAGTCATTGTTGTCAACTCCAGGAGCCTCAATACTTCCACAGGATCCTGTACGTATGGCGATGTGCGCCTCTATCTCATCCTTCGCACGATCCACGTTCTCCGGCATCCCGGTGACCTCGAACACCGGCTCCTTGTCCCGACTTGGCGTCACAATGTACGTGTGGGTCTGTTGCTGAATACGTTTGATGGTTGCCCCTGAAAGATATGAGCAGACCAAAAACCTTATAATATAACACTAAGTAACTACTCTGGTCACATGGCAAGAGGAATGGCAAGCGCATTCACATAAATGTTGACGCATTATACCGTATGCATGACCAATTCTGAGAAATATACATCCGAGGATAAACAAATGGAACACTGATGTAGAGAATCACATTGTTTGGCTTCGGGAATAAGTATAAATAGGGCTGAGAACATTAGCTAAAGAACAGATCTCTGTGTACTTCATTGTTGACGCCTCTTAACTTGGCCGAACCAGGGTTCGTGGAGTTGACAAAGTCCAGGAAGAGCTATTCTAAAGACTGCACAGTCACATTAACTGAATTATATTTTCAGTAAATACACTTGTTTTTTTCTAACAATAGCTGGCATTGAAAAAGGAGGAAACACGGCTCTGCAATAATTATAGCACCTGGTGACTCAGCTGGCTAACACGACATGTTTCAGTTAGGTTTAGGAAACTTTTCAAATGTCATTCCTATATATCTTAAAGGGATAACCAGAGAGAGCATTGACAAATATCCCACAGTGAATGTTCAAGTAACAGAAACCTTTCTCGATGATTGTAAACATCAAATATTGAAAGGAATATTTTTCATTATCGTCACATTTTTATTTCGAATTTGTTTTCATTATGACCCGTTGCCTCACCCTCTCCAGTCTATTGGCACATGGTTGAGAACTACTGCACTTCAATTTACAAATCAACCCCAGGAGTTTCTGACACTGTCAACAGGGAAAGGGGTTGAAGTCTTTCCCAGAGCAAAATGTAGCCATCTTTAGTAAAGCTGAGCATATTACAAAAACTTTAAAAATCATAACAAGTGTTTTTGTACAACAGTTGTATGATACACAAGAATGTGTAATTTATTTTAAAAGCAGCAATATCTCTATATGAAAATATAAATCACCTTCTGGGAGACAATGCTTATCTTAATAATATGGATAGTTTCAAAAACTCACCTTTGGGACCCACGACCAGCCCTACAACACGATATGGTACTCGCACCTGTAGAATTAAAATGACACGGGGTAACTTAGACTACAATGAATCAAACACACAGAGAGCCTCCTATATAAAAACAAATGTGGGAAACATGGATGGTACGATACATAACAAGTAATGTAACTCACTGCATAGGTATGGGAATCTTTAACACAGAACAATGCTATGATTCATGATCACATGTTTTCTGACCTGAATGGTTGTCTGTCCAGGTAGAGAGGGGGTCCCTGTACCCGTCGCAGCAGACAGAGGGCCCGTCTTGTTTCGAGAGGCTCTGATGAGGGAGAAGTGCTCAGCTGCAGAGAGGATCTCCCTCTTAGCCATGCCCACGTCTTCTTTGCGCCCCGTCACAACAAAGACAGGCTGCTCTCCCCTCACCGGTGTCTTAATGTAGGTGTTGGTCTTGGCTCGAAGTGCCTTAATCTTACAGCCTGTAATGAACAAGGGAGACAAGGAGAGAGAAACAGAGTACTGTTGGATCATTGCTGATTCACGTTTGAAATGTACCACACACACTGCATTAAGTCAACATATTAAACTTTGATGATTACCTAATTAAAGGTTATGCCATATGCAATTTCCCTTTCCAGTCCTTAATGCCATTTCAAAGTTGCATAGCCTATACATTAAATAATCCTTTCAGCTGTGGTTGAGTAGTCCAGCATCATTACCAGAGCCATTTCCTGTTGTTGTCAACACTGCAGTCTGTGCACCCTCCCCCAACAAAGACGACAGAATAACACTCTCTCAACCCTACTATTGAGCTATGTAAAGTTTATGTAAAAGACCAGATAAAGGCGTTCGATATCTAGGAAAGGGGCCGCGTTTAGTTGAAGTGAGGAGTCTTGGTTAGGTCACAGAGCTAACTATAACCTACAGCTGATGTGGCAAAGCAATGCCGACCTACACACCGCTCTTCATGTTCTCCTCCGAGACAAAGCAAAGCCTCGTTTAGCTCGGCAAGGCAGGGGACATGTTCATTGTTCACTCTCCGTAAAGAACAGACAAAACGTCCAAAATACAGACGAGCTGTCAGAGCGAGAAGACATCTGCTGGCTTATAAAACTTGTATTGCAAACTTTTGCTGAGGGTGTTGGGCGAGTGTGATGTTGACCCAGTTAGGAGGAGTGCTAAGCTAGCTGAGCTAAGTGTTGCTGAAAAGACATGGTTTAATAATATGTCTTATTTATGACTATACAATACTCAACACAAATGTTAGATGTCCCACATAATAATGTAGCTTGTAAAAATGTTAGGTATTATTTATCATAAACAGCTTGCAACAATACTCGTCAATGCTGGTGACAACAATAAGTGTATAGCTAACGGTAGCGTGTTGACTAACGTTATATTCTTACTTGCGACAAATTTAAGTACAATTTAGCTAAATGTTTGATTGTAACTTTGGGTTTACTTAATATTGCAACATTCTTTCGAAATCACATAATTTATTACATTTACCATCCTGTTGTATATCTTATTTCACTTGATTTACTACAGCATGAACTATCTTCCTGCCAAGTTTGGACCAAAAACCCATTAGCAACTTAGCTTTGAAAAGGATTCTACCAAAACCCTCCGAAACACAACAAAGACTCACCCTGTCTGCCCACAATCTCCGCGACGTGCTCGGAGCTGGGCACCGACACACACTCGGTTGTGTTGACGCTCTTTCGCCGAGCCAAGAGCGAAGACTCGGCCTCGTAGCCAGACTCCCCGTACATGCCGGGCGGTAGTATCGCCATGCTGCCAGCCAGTGGTAAGGCGCCGCCGCCGAGCCCAATATCATCTCCGTCTTCGTTGTACAACAAGACCGTCTCGGCGTACGGAGGCTCCATCCCCGAAGGCATCACTGAGCCTCCTGGCCCTGATGGGAGGTGTTGCTGGCGGTGGGCCTGCGCTAGCAACAAGGAGTCGGCTCCAACTTCTAGCTCATCGTCCTCGGGCGCTATGTTCACTTCTACTCCCGAAGGCGGCTGGTGCACGGGCTTCAAGTCTAGGACCGTACCGAGAAGGTTAAAATGAGAAACAGGGGGAAGCTGGTGGAGGTGGTGATAGTGGAGGCTCTCGTCTAATTGTTCGGGGTTCTGGCTCTGGGTGCCGTGGTGCTCCTCAAGGCCCATACCGGCGAAAGCGTGCACTAGAGGCGGTGGGACCTCGGACTCTCCCTCGTCGGCCTCCAGCAAAGATGTGCTACTCGGCATTATGCAAAGCTTTTATAATACTGTCTTTAGACGGAAAACGATACAAATAATTTATCAAATTGTTTTTGGTTCAGAAAAAAATAAAAAGCGACCCGCGCCTGTTGGTTGAAATGTGTGGCTTTTGTTTTGTCTTTCCAGCTCTCCATGCAGCCCTCCTTACACTGTAATCTCGTAAAGCTGGTTCACGCGATACTTTGTTTTGGGGTCAGGCCAGGCGTGTATTCACGACTATCAGAAAGACGCACTCGCCGCACATCTTGCAGTGGTTCTGACTTCTGTCATGAGAATGATTCATTACTATATTTGCCAATGGGCTACACATCCCGAGGTATCGGGAGAATAATTCCGTAAGGCCGCCTCAGAGTCGACACAATTATTGTGGCATTAATATAGCCTACCCCTTTTTTGGTGAGATCTAGACCAAAAAAAAGGTAGGGATAAGTAACATGTTATTAGAAGGCTTAGATTAAGGGCAAGGACAGTATGTTACCTAATAAAGATGCAACCAATATGTGTTGAACATCAATGGTCTGACCCTACGCAAGCCACCATGTATGTTTTCGCAGGCCATTGTAAGATGCCAATTAGGCTTTTCCTCAAATTGCAACGAGATGGTGGTTTGATAAAAAACTAGTTGGGTCACAACTTTTTGTAGGGCAAACTATTCCCTAACTTTGAAAGAAAAGTCACTTTAATACAACTGTGATCTTCAAGTACATTCATTTAGATATTGGACATTATTTCAATTGACTGGCTGTCCAGCTCAACAACAAGCTAGAGAAGTCTGACATCACCACTCCACTGCTATCTGCTGTCCACAATAACCAAGTCAATCACTCTAACGGTTAATGTAACTGCACCACACACTTCCCGCCGTGGCTAATATCATCAGTATCTTCTACATCCAAGAAAACCCATGTTATTGTACACTGACTCTAATGCATGGACAGTCTTAGGTTAGGGACTCACCAACAATATACAAACGTACACCCATGAATAGCTCAAATACAAGTGCATACAAAACCCAACAATTCATTAAATGAATAGTACCTGACTCTCTCTTCTGACATTTATTGGTGATATTGTAGTGGACATTGTTGAAAGTGTTTTCACATTTGATAGAGAAAACACATTAATACAAAACAACCCTCTGAGAGCAGAACCGCTTACATAATCTTGGTCAATGCCAATAAATGGTTTCATCACTAAAGGCTACATCAAACTCTATTTGTTATTCTGGACTTCTATGAGCGGATTTTGTTGTAGTGGATGTTGGTGATAAAATATATTTTGCAACAAGCGAGCCTTATTAGTAAAGTCACGGCATCTCGAGAGTTAACTGCATAAAATGAGACAATTTTAATTGCATACATACAGTAAATTTGTATTTAACCAAACCCTGTTTCGCAGCAGCCACGTTGGAGTGTACTATTGACCAATGAGAGTGCGCAGAGGGCGGGCTTTCACAGTTGACAGCCAATGACGTGTCACGTTTGTGATACGTTACTTAGCATTAGTTGCATCCGGGTGAGCATTTTGAGGTGAGTAGCTAATGCTGATTGAGGCAAAATAATGAATCAAGAAATGCTTATCTTTGAATTTACTTTGGCTTCAATGATCAGGAATGCGCCAGTAATACAGAAATACGCAATAATAAATTGTTAAAAATTCTGAGAGGCTTTCTCTCTCTTTATTATACAAAGGCCACCCAGCTAGCTAGTTAGCGTTAGCTTTAAGCTAACAACTTGTCGCTAATACCAATGTCCGGGTTTGCTTTGTCACTACTTTTGCCTTATTTCCTCCCTTGGTATTGATTTTAGTTTGTTGTCTGTTATGGTCTATTCCGGCAGGTTTGCTCAGGTTTTTGCTTTGAATCTTGGCTATCGGTCTTCAGGATGTACGGATCGTTTCGGCTGGTATTGCAGGTGCTGTCGGCCCAGCTTCTCTGTGTGTGGGTGCTGGGCTCCGAGCTAACTTTCGAGCTGCCAGACAACGCCAAGCAGTGTTTCTACGAGGACATCACCATCGGCACCAAGTGTACACTTGAGTTTCAGGTGCGTGGGTCTAATGAGAAGTTCCTATATTTGAAATATTGATTAATTTCCTGATCAACAGCGTTATATCAGCAGTTCTCTGACTGATGACAATGTGGTAAGCAAGTAAAAACAACACACCTTTAAAAAATCTGTTTTTAACACACTATCTTTTGTCTGTTTTCAATAATTGTGTTTATTAATGTAGTCAAGTCAGTATTATTACATATCCTAAGATCACACATTTGCTCGAAGGGTTTTTTATCATCTGTACACCATACGATATTCTCTACTTTTAGACCCTCGATTGTGACGTGCAGTAGATATGATATGTACAGAATAAACAACGTTAATAAAGTGCAAGTAGACAATCCATACAATAAACAAATGATGTATAGAATTTGAATATATGAAAAAGATGAATCCTGGAAGATCTTAAGCAGCTTCCAGGTGTCCCCAACAGCTAAAGACGGACCTCCTCTCCACCATGTAAACTGGAAAGAGAACAGGCAACACGGACATACAGAAACAAAACTAATACACTTTATCAACTTAGATAGTACGATATTGAAACAAACTCAGAAGGGGTATATAAATAGATGTCTTTATGTTTTCCCAGGTGGTAACAGGCGGCCATTATGATGTGGACTGTCGTTTGGAAGACCCAGAAGGCACTACACTCTACAAGGAGATGAAGAAGCAATATGATAGCTTTACCTTCACCGCAGCCAAGAACGGAACCTACAAGTTCTGTTTCAGCAACGAATTCTCCACTTTCACACACAAGACCGTTTACTTTGACTTCCAGGTCGGCGATGACCCTCCACTCTTCCCCAATGAGAACAGGGTCACTGCTCTCACTCAGGTAAGCTCTGTCGGTATATATGAACATTTATTTTATCTGACCAAGAAAAAAAAGACTAATATCTAAACGGCATGTGGTTTAGTGAAAAATGATACACCTTCAACATCTCTTTCACTCTACTGTTGGTTTAATTAGTAAAACACCTTTTTTGGTATCTATCTGCATGTAGTTTTGTGTTGTCTGCAAATTCGCAGCCAAGCTCCATACCATTTTAAACTGACAAGCCAAACCTACTAAAAACGTTCTGGTAGTAAACTAATTATTTTATATCCATAAACTAGTTAGACACTTGCTTTTTATTCCTACAGGTGATGGTTATGGGGTCAGATTGTCTGACTAACATTCACTTATGTCTCCTCATTTTAGAAGTTTGAGTATATTTGAACACTTTTTGCTCACAAAGGTCCTTCTAGTTTGTGAATCAAAGTTAGAATGTTCTTGTAACAGTCAATATATCTAATGGGCGGCTTGGCTTTTTCTTTACCCTGTGCAGATGGAATCAGCCTGTGTGTCTATCCATGAGGCCCTAAAGTCGGTCATTGACTACCAGACTCACTTCCGCCTCCGTGAGGCCCAGGGACGCAGTCGGGCAGAGGACCTGAACACCCGTGTGGCTTTCTGGTCCATCGGAGAGGCCCTTATCCTTCTGGTGGTCAGCATCAGTCAGGTGGTGCTGCTGAGAAGCTTCTTCTCTGACAGGAAAACCACTACAACACGCGTAGGATCGTAACAGTCTCTGAGCACTGGGATCTGATACAGCATTTTTTTTGTCTGTTCATTGGCTAGCGTGCATAGAGTAGGTCTGAATATCAGTGCTGATCTGAAATTAGATCATATCAAACTGCCAAGTCGTACAATCTGACATGTCATCCTGATTCAGCACTGGTATCCTTACAAATGTTATGCAAACGAGTCTTAAGCTAAATGGTATTTGAGGGGTAAAAATAGAGAACCTGAAAAAAAGGATTGCAATGATCTGCATTGGAGGCAGTTTAAGGTCCTATAGTTGAAGTAAACTTTAGAAATGCGTTTTAATTTAATTTGTCTTTCTACCCCTGGCATCTCAAATTCTCCACACCTTGTCTATTTCCTCTTTCAGCAAAAAGTGTGCACTGAATTTACCAAGAGGGTTGAATATGTGACTAAACCTACTCATAATGTAAGGGTTGTGACTGTATATTTCCTTATGTGCAGAGCAATAGGTTTCTTAAACCACACTGGCATGGCAAAGAGTGTTTCCCCATAAAGGTTGCATTTGGTTTTGAAGAAAATGTTGCTTCTTTCTTTATTAAACCTCACTGTGTTGAGTTAGAAACAGTAGATATTGTGTTGTTTTATCATCTTTGTCATTTAAGATGAGTTGGTGTATGTTGTATAGATTATAGCCGTCTTTTTATTTTGATACGAGTTTGAAAGAGTTTGTATTTGGGCCAGAGGATTGAATTTAAAGATACATATAATTTCTCCTAAATAACTGCAGACTCAATTTTTAAACAAAAAAAAATATTTATTGTTTTTTTAATTTTGGATATACTATTTGCTTGATTACACATTTAGGTAAAGGCATGTTTCAATTTGAACACATCTCGGTGAATGCTCTACTGCAAATGTTATAATTGTCTTTGTGACTGTGGAAGGTGAAAAAGAAATAACAGATTTTAGAATTTTGTTTTGAAAGGACACATTTTGTGTGTTAAGTGGCAATGCCAGCAATTTCAAGTACAGCAACTTGTTATAACAAATGTGTCTTTCGCTGGTTCCTCTGCAATGTCCTTTATATAGTTTTGCCTTTGCTGTTTCAAGTGTAACAACTCATTTGTAATGTAGGCTAATTTTCCTCTCCATTATAAATTAAAGTTGTTCTGCAAAATATTGCTTCTATATATGATGAAAAATACTTAATACGTTAAATCTATGATCGGGTCTGGATCTGAAACTTTGAGCCTGCAGAAAGTCCTGCAGGTGGTGTAGTAAATAGAGGCTTAGTTACATCTAGTGTGGCTTAAGCCAGGAATCATGGGAAAGTCGGTGGGTCATTCTTTTATCCACGACTTAAACACAACATCTGGCAGCTCTCAGCCAGTGGCATGAAGGCCTGAAGGAAACATTAAATATCTGAGTAAATTGATTCATTTTAAACTCCACCTGCAAAGTAGACAAGTTCAAAACATCTCCTGGCAAATCCAAATCATCACTGTTGTAATGTGAGATCAATATGACCTTTATGATACTTTATATTTGACAAAGACAGACTTTAAAATCTAAACCACTGAAAGAAACCAAAAAACGCAACACTTCAGATAGTGCTACAAGTCTTGTTAAACTGTCAGAACTGATGCTCAAAACAACTATACAATTGTATTCTATTGATTTATTATTGATCTTTTTGTGCTTTTTTAGTGTGCTCCCATCAAATGTTAATTGTCTGTTGTGGTAGGTGTTGCAGTGCTGGCGTTTCATTTGAAGGTGTATGCACTGTAACGGCTCATCTTGAACACAACATCTTTTGTAAATCATTCTGGAAGCTTATGCTAGTTGGGATGGCTGAATAAACTTTCTTTTCAAATGTCGTTGAATGCTTTTATTTAATATTCAGCAATAAAATCGCTTTTCAATGTGGATGAAGGTTTTGGAAACATCTTGTCATGCTTCTCTTGTCCTGTAGGGAGAGATATAACCAAAGCCTTCACAGTGAGCTGTGCACCTATACAACATTAAGAAATATCTCTTAATCTATCAGATACATATTATATATTCTACCGGTTTTTGTTTGTTGTTTAGTTACCTTTACATATTATTTATATCTTTAAAAAGTCCCTAATCATGAATAGCAGCAATCGCCTTTGTTGTTTTTTATCGACTACGTCACAGTGTTCCTGCTCTGTGATTGGTGGTCAAACATTTCAATCATTTACGCTAGTCAAGAAAAAAGACTGCGTTGGGTTTGCAAATTGTCGGAAACTGAGTCGTGATCATCCGGTCCAGCCGTGGGTGGATAGCCTTCCCTATTTACCTTCCCCTCCACTGAGATTATAGTCGTGCCAGCTTGCCGAGTGGCTCCGTAGACGACGGTGTTTCGCGGGTAACGTCTCGCTTGTTTCTCGACAGTTTGAAAAGAAACACGGCTAGGACTCCGGGGAAATCCCCCGAGTGATTGGCCGAAGAACGACCGTCTTTTCCAGGCTAAGCTAACAGAAGCACGGCATTACGGGTGGGGGAGGATTTTTTAATATTTCGGCCCTCGGGAAGCTAATATAAATAACAGGCGTGGGTTGTGAAACAATGACAAGCGCAGAAAGTATACCTAAGCGAGGCGAGGTTATCGGAGGGGAAGACATGTCAGTGGACGAATATCGGTTTAACGTTCAATAAAGAGGTGTAAAGTATATCAGCTAATGGAAGCTAGTCGCTAAATTGATCAAGGAAGTTGACTAGCCACCTTGCTAACTCGGCGACAAATGTATTACTGGACCAAGGGTCGCCTGAAACTCTGAGTTATTCATATGTTTAACATATTCACATAGTGGTGATGACCTTTTTTAAAGCCGGAATTAATACAAGTCACACATTTCTGTGGGCTTTTAAAAAAACTAAAACGCGTCAGCTGGTTTACTGTTGGCTAGTGATTCATAGCTTGTTGTAAACAAAGGGTCCCCAGCTCCACCTGTCAACAGGCGCTACACCTCGAGGTATCGTTGACCCATTGTGTCACGGACATCGCTACCTTTTTATTGCACTGTGACACTAACCCTCAGAAATGGATTTAAAGACGGCAGTATTTAACGCAGCCAGGGACGGTAAGCTCCGGCTGCTTCAGAAACTGTTGGAGAACAAAGATGGACACGAGGTTACTAAGTTGATGGGCGATAAAACAAACGGGGCCACCCCGCTGCTCATGGCCTCACGGTACGGCCACCTGGACTTGGTAGAGTACCTGCTGGAGTGCTGCAGCGCTCCTGTGGAGGTCGGGGGGTCCGTGAACTTTGACGGGGAGACCATCGAGGGAGCGCCCCCTCTCTGGGCCGCCTCGGCCGCTGGTCACCTGAAGGTGGTCCAGTCCCTGTTGGGCCACGGAGCTTCTGTCAACAGCACCACCCTGACCAACTCTACACCCCTGAGGGCAGCCTGCTTCGACGGTCACTTGGACATTGTGAAATACCTGGTGGAGCACAAAGCTGACCTGGAGGTGGCCAACAGACACGGCCACACGTGTCTAATGATTTCCTGCTACAAAGGACACAAGGAGATAGCTCAGTACCTGCTGGAGAGAGGAGCAGATGTCAACAGGAAGAGTGTCAAAGGTGAGAGGGTAGCACAGATAATTTAGCATAAAAAAGTTAAGTTGTCTCATTTAATTCTGAGAAAAGACACTGAGGGTGGGTAGATGCATTTTCAGGGCTCTACTGTAGTTTGAATCACCTATTCCACAGTAAGTGTTTCCAGACATATGATGGCACATTAGATGATAAAGGTATGTCATTCTCTCATAGCAGCCATTTCAAATAAAGAAACCCTGATCATATTGTAAACAGGCTAAATGCACTCATACATTACAAGTGAACACAAATGATGACTCAACAAAATAACATGAACTGGTTTCACAATGGAAAATTATTTTGATAACTACGTCAGCTTTTCTTTGGGTGTGTAATGGAACTCTTTTATTGGAAGGGTTTTGTGAATATGCAAACAACTGTCCATCTGTATTTATGGCTATTGTGTTTTATGAAATAAGAGTCCACAGGATTACTTACAGTGAAGCGTTAGTGATATCCTGCATTTTGTTCTATTACTGTCGATGTGTACAAAGACTAACCCGTTTTCATGGTGGGAAAAATAATCAACAATCCATATTGGTTTGTGCACATTTGATGGGTCAGAATCGTGTTTGCTTATATGTGGTTGGCACTGAATTTATTGCTGTCAGACAAAAAAAAAACAAAGTGGAGTCACTAAGTTATCCCGACTGTGTGTGTGTGTGTGTGTGTGTGTGTGTGTGTGTGTGTGTGTGTGTGTGTGTGTGTGTGTGTGTGTGTGTGTGTGTGTGTGTGTGTGTGTGTGTGTGTGTGTGTGTGTGTGTGTGTGTGTGTGTGTGTGTGTGTGTGTGTGTGTGTGTGTGTGGAGAGAGAGAGAGAGACGAGCCAGCAAGAAAGAACATAGTGAGGATGCCAGGCTCACATCTGATATGAACTGCTAAAAGTTCTGTGGTCAGCTGGCTCTCTTCCTCTCAGACAAAAAACACTTAGTTTATACAATTCCTGTAGCCCAACACCTGTTGTACTGTCCTCACTTGGGCGTACGGCTCCTTTTGGAAGAGCATAATGAGTATTTAGATGAATAGCTTGTTTTGGAAGAAATTCCTACATTTCTGGATTACCAGTTTTTTTTTTTGTGAATTTCATCCTGACAAGCAAAGTGGACAAGGCGTCAAAACTATTGGAGACAGCAAGCGCATTTCGTGGCATCTGCAGGCAGTGGCAAGTACTTCCGGCATATGCCACAGATGCCACAACTTGCCGAGGCATCTGCCGCTGCTCAACGGGAGTTGCCACAAGATGCCAGAGTAAGAGAAGGTTTACGGTAGCTGCCACTCGCCTTCCGTGGCAAATGCTGCTATTTAAACCCATATTTATCGTGTAAAATGTCGCTGTTTAGGCATGACTTTATCGAACTGATCTGTACACAGGACTGATGATCTGTGCACAGGGTTGGGTTGTAACTGAATACATGTAACGGCGTTAGGTAATCAGAATACAAAAATCAAGTAGCCTAACTGTATTCAGCTCGAGTTACATTTGAAAAACAACTAATCCGAATACAGTTACTTTCGTAAACCTGAAGTGAATACTTATTGGAATTATTGTTGGAAAAGTTTCCTCACAAAATGTATCCTAATATTCATTGCCGGCAGAACTGTGTGCACAGCGCAGCAGCATGTCTGTGAGGCCCCGCCCCCGCACGCAGATGAGAGAGAGATCTCTTTTTAAATATATTGAAAGTTAGAAACGGAGATGGTTCGATAAAACGTGCAAGATAACGTTTATGTCGCATTTCTTTATTGTCGAAATGATGACATTTCATAACGGGATAAAATCAAAGTGAATGGCCTGCTGCTGCTGAAGGCATGGGGGCAAATATAAGTCCTTTGCCTAATTTATAAAGTAAACCATAGCATCTCACTAGCAGTGGCAACTGCAATCAGTTACAGCTTCCCTCTGTAGCCAAATCTAATAACACCATGCATGTTAATTATTTGTCTTTACTCGTAATAATACACCTGGTTTATCGTAGCAAGCAGTGGAAACTCCCCTCAAGAAGCGACAATTGCCAAGGGCGTTGCAACCCTCACTCGCCAATATTTCATCATAAATATAGCACATTTGTTTATTTTAGCAAACCATGCTCCAAGTAAAATTGAATAGAAATGATAATGTATCATCTTTTTGAAAAATAGAGATCGCACATCAGTCCTGTGTACAGATCAGTTCGATAAAGTCATGCCTAAACAGCGACATTTTACACGATAAATACGGGTTTAAATAGCAGCATTTGCCACGGAAGGCGAGTGGCAGCTATCGTAAACCTTCTCTTACTCTGGCATCTTGTGGCAACTCCCGTTGAGCAGCGGCAGATGCCTCGGCAAGTTGTGGCATATGCCGGAAGTACTTGCCACAGATGCCACGGAGTAGCGGCCTCTGTGGCAGATGCCGGAAGTACTTGCCACTGCCTGCAGATGCCATGAAATGAGCCAGGCCCTACTGAACTATTGGCAACTGGTTTTCAGGAATCTCCAAAAGAGCCATTGTTGCAAATGTACGTCAACTTGTTGATGAAGGGATATTATCCACTGTAGCGGACAGTATTTCATATTTTGAAAAATGTAAAAACATTGACGAATCTGAATTCCTTTATTTGTTATCAATTGAAAGCTAGCCACCCAAAACCGGCGCAAAATATTTTCTACAATGTTAATCCTCTCTGATAAAGCAAAGGAGACCCTGCCTTGTGGCTGTCCTAAAATTGTCTTGTCGTGAGTAAGATTAAAAAAAGATTCTGATCAGTGTGGTTTTGTCAGTCTCCTGAGAATATCTAAAGGTTAATCCTTGACTCGCCCTGTGTGGTCTGGTCTGCCTGAAAATGGATTAGACTTAGTCTATTGAGAGACTACATGCAAGTGTTACACTCAAATCATATGTTAAGGATGGACATAAAGTGTTATGAGGTCTGTTGAATATATTTAGTTGAAGACTTTTACTGTGTGTTTTTCTTTCTTTTAACTCTATTGAATCATAAGCACCACTCACAACATTCTGCTAATGCTTAATCCCAAGGTTTTTTTCGGTTGATGATTGACTTTGATCACCAGGTCACCAAGTTTGAAGGACAAGGATAGGTTTACACTTATTTCTTTATAAACTTTTACATTAATGTCACTTGTTAGTAAAGTATGCACTCAAGTGTCTTCAAAAGGGTTTGTCTGGATGCATAAAGGATGTCAGTGGGCAATAAATGTACACTTTTCTTTTAAGGGAAACTACAGCGGGAGTCTACTGTTTAGAGTTTCTGTATATAAAGCTACCCAAATTCAGACGGTTTGTCATAACTTGGTTGGATCGGGTTCCTTAAGATATACCCAATACATATTTATTTTGTCTTTCAACTTAGAAAATTGATGAGTTTCATGTTTTCAAAACTTGGCAAAGACATGTTTTTAATCTTATTTGAGGAATACTGCCATTGTCAATACACCATCATATTGGTTTGAAGAAGAAAAAAAGACCATATCCACCAAGTGTAAGCAAACAACAATAAGATTGTTTAAAACATTGCACAGTCAGCATTAGGAAAGTACATATTCTCTAACAATACATCATAGCAAAGCTTTTTCACTCTACACCTGCACATTTGAGCAGCAGCTGAGCGTTACTCCCCACTGCAAAGCTTCCATTCATCAGGTGTACTTCCTGCAGTTCCACGACAGCATGACCTGTATTTCCTATCTGAAAAAGGGGTGTTAAGAATCGCATGTATATGCTGTTCGCATGACAAGTCGCACCTTAACTGGTAATCATCGGTGAGTGAGCATGAAACAGACAAATGACTTGAGGCAAGCTTCCACAATACTCCTGACATCAGCTGATTTACAGCCATTTTGAATAAAGATAAAGGACAATGTGCGGGGTGAACAGCTGCTCTTCTGTATTTGTCATTACTGTCTATTTCTATGTAAAAACAATACATTTGCTATTTATTTTTTTCATCTAATAACATTTCATGGCCAGACCAACTATTCCCAATTAAACAGTTTTGCTTTATTATTATTATTATTAAAAGGCTGTGGCTCGGCTGGACGTTTTTAATGGTCATCTAGCAACAGATCTACCATCATCAATTAGATGTATCTGCATGACTTGTTTGCACTCACTACCTCTGTAGCAGGTCACCATGAATGTTCACTTGTTCACAGGCAACACGGCGCTCCATGACTGTGCGGAGTCGGGCAGTCTGGAGATCATGCGGATGTTGCTGCAGTTTGGAGCGTCCATGGAGCAGGACGGCTACGGTATGACGCCCCTGCTCTCCGCCAGCGTCACAGGGCACACTAACATCGTAGACGACCTGACGATGCACCAGCAGGTCAGGGTTTTTTGTTGACATAGATGTGTTTGTGAGGATATTTCTATGATATTTTCAATCTAGTGAATATTTGTCTTAAACCCATATAAAAAAAGAACAAATTATTTCCTTCTGCAGACGAGCCCAACAGAGCGCATTGATGCCCTGGAGCTCTTGGGAGCCACATTCGTTGACAAGAAGAGAGATCTGCTCGGAGCTTTAAAATACTGGAAGAGAGCCATGGACCTCAGGCACCTCGACAGTCACTGCATTGTCTGTAAACCCGAACCAAAGCAGCTGATCATGGCATACGACTATGCCAGAGAGGTGAGCACTATTATGAGCCAGTATTTTTTTTATTAATCACTGCCACCAAAAGGATTCTGCATAGCATTTAATGCTCTTAAATTGTTTTTTGTTTTTTTTAATGCTGATGCGGTCATAATTTGGTGAAGGCAGCACAGAGTTAAGCAGGGTGACTGCTTCAAAGATGTAGCACAAAAAAGCATGAAGGTAGCAGATTGTATTCGCTGTGAAGAAAAGCAGACATTTGGTCTTGTTTCTGTGTAGATAAGGTTTTTGAGGCACTAATGAACCATAAAATACTGATATAAATTCAGTTAAATAAACAGAGAACCTACTGCAGCAGTCCAGTGTCAGGTCTTAATGCAATTTTCTTCTGAAAAGCATGATTTATCGCATGTACTAAATCCTGAATTGCCCTAATTGCTGCACCCTTCCCTTTTCTTGATCTTGTAATCCTCTTCCTAGGTAACAAACGGAGAAGAGCTGGACGGACTTATATCTGATCCGGATGAGATGCGCATGCAGGCACTGCTCATCCGTGAAAGAATCCTCGGCCCACAACACCCCGACACGTCTTACTACATCCGGTACAGAGGGGCTGTTTATGCGGACTCTGGGAACTTTGAGCGTTGTATCAATCTGTGGAAGTATGCTTTGGACATGCAGCAGAGCAACCTGGACCCGCTGAGCCCCATGACGGCCTCCAGCCTGCTGTCCTTCGCTGAGCTCTTCTCCTTCATGCTGCAGGACCGAGCCAAAGGTCTCTTGGGGACATCTGTGTCATTTGAGGACTTGATGGGGATCCTTTCCAAGAGTGTGTTGGAGATTGAGCGGGCAGTTAAACAAAATGGTCCGATGCCTCCTGACCCTGCACAGCTCAGCAAGGCCCTGTCAATCATCTTGCACCTCATTTGTCTTTTGGAGAAGGTGCCCTGTACCGCAGAGCAGGACCACTTCAAGAAGGAAACCATATATAAGTGAGTTTCTGATTTAAATAGTTGTATTTGTCTTCAGTGAGGAAAATTCCTCTGTACTCTTGTAGTGTGCGGTTGTCGAAGCGAAACAAATAATAGTAGTTTTGTGGAAAAACCTATATTTCTAGCTGGCAGTGGTTAACTTGCACCTGTTGGGCCACTTGCCTACCTTTTTTCAGCAAATAGAAGTCTTAGTCTCCATTTTATTTTTCTTGAAAGATAACATTTTTTTTTAAATGGTTGGCCATTTATTTTCCTGTCTGTTTGATTAGTTGACTAATCAAACCGTCAGTTGGGTCACAGTCCTGCACTTAATGCTGTTACCTTGACGGTTGTAGTTTTTTGTCTCCTTGTTTCTGGACAGTAAAGTTGACATCTTTCCACATCGTACAGATTCCTGAAGCTCCAGCCGTGTGGTAAGAACGGCTACAGCCCTCTACACCTGGCAGTCGACCGCAACACCACCTGTGTGGGCCGCTACCCCGTCTGCAAGTTCCCCTCCCTCACTGTCGCCTCCATCCTCCTCGAGTGTGGGGCAGACGTGGACTGCCGCGATGAAGATGACAACAGGTTGGTTTTTCTTCTTCTTTAGTTTCAGCTCTCATTGTTCTTTGACGTGGCTGGTTTAGGTTTATTTTAATATTTCTGTTCAAAAGTAACAACAGTAAGGGTTAATGAAAATACCTAAAATGCTCCTCAATTGCACCATTATGACAGCCACCAGTGAAATGCCATGCCACAACATTGATGACATGTTTTGTTATAAAATGATTAAGTGGATCTATTATCTTTTCCCACCCACCAGCCCACTTCACATAGCCGCATCCAACGGCCATCCTGACATCATGAACCTGCTGATATCCTGCGGGACTCACTTTGACAGCACCAACGCCTTCCAACAGACAGCCTGCGACCTCCTGGACGAGAAGGAGCTTTCCAGGAATATAATCCAGCCCATAAACCACACCACACTTCAGTGCCTAGCCGCCAGGGCCATCGTCAAGCACAGCCTCAGTTACCGGGGGAACATCCCTGAGAAACTAGAGGCCTTTGTCTTGCTCCACAGATAATGATGATGGTGAAGAAGAGGAGGGGAATGGTTGGATTAAAACAGGAGGGGGTGTGATCACATGACATGGAGCTGACAGACTGAGGAGCACTATAGTTCAAGGCCTGTTTGATGAGCTGAAAGACACCATTTTGTAGGTTTGCAAATTCAAACCATTTTTAAAGTATGAATTTGGAAGATTTGCGTGCAACCAAAATGTCCTCATTCAACCAGGATAAAAGTGAGAAGTGATCGGAGTAAACCGAGGAATGATTTACTACTCCGTTCCTCCGCTTGCTCTCTCATGGAGCCGCGGCTCGGACTGGTCACAGCCTGATCTGTGGGGATGTATTACGAGTTGTTTGCGACATGGACAATTGTATCTCCGGATGATTTAAGCAAGGGGTTTAGAAAAAAGATTTTTTTTTTTGCATATTACACTATGCTATTTATTGAATGAAACTTGAGAGATTTTTCTCCATGCTGGTTCCAACCCAGCCTCAACTTTGCCTGCTTCTCTCTTCTCAAAGCAAAGACTGAGGCGTTTCTACATATGCTGGGACTTCAGGTTATTTTTTGTTTGTCCCATCACTGTTGCCAACAGTCATGGACCCTTCCTCAGTCATCATTATTTTCTTTTGTACTTTTACATTTAGTTATTGTCATGTAACTCTGGATACCTGCCAAGTGGTGTGGATCCTGGACTCATTTGTCACTAGTGTATAACAAAGCTTTACAAGAAGGGTTTAATGTCTGCGAACACCATAAGTGCTTTATTCTTCCTATGCACAGGCTAGGCTGTTGGAGAGAGACTGTTGTATGCTGTGCCGGCACTTGTCTGTGCAATATCTCATGAGTTTTTGTGTTTACCTCATTGCTGCCGTTTCTTTCAGTATCCCCTTACTTCCACCAGAGAAAGAAGGGGGGTGCAACACCATTGTACTGACTGTTGTAAGAAGAGTGAATGGATTTGAGTGATCGTGTTTTTTTGTATGTGTGTGAGTGCCACGCAGTGTGTTTCTTGTATGCAGAGTTTTTGAGCTTACACAAATGATTGAGGACTAGAGTTTGGTGGAGTGGCACTCATGGAGATTCCATAATGCACATGACTGCCACTAAAAACCACAGTGGCCAAACTGGCCGGAGTGTGCAGGCTTGTACCCAGAAGTGACCTCTTAACGTTCATACACGGCCGACCTTTAAATGCCATCATTCTTTAAAAAAAATCGTGATCAAAAAGAAAACAAATCTAGGTAGGATACCAACATTGGCCCACTGTGCATGTGCAGCAGCATATCAACCAATCACTCCAGAAAACCTTTTGTGAGGACTAGACTACAGCGGGGAGAGTTCTTCTCATTTGGTACAACCGTCGTCCAATTCCATAAGAAGTGAAGACACAAATGTGTGGGAGGGCGCCTGACGTACAGAATAGTAAAGCTTTGTGAATTATCTTGTTTGCACATTAGCTTTAGATGTGTGGGTTGAAAAAAAGGGCTTTTCATAATTCATAGGATTTCACATTGCAGTCTATTTAACCTGACAGTTCAATCCCAGACATAGAAAATGAATGAGGACTCCCAGGGCAACTTCATTTGAATCTGCACTTTACTACCGCGGAGTTTAAGATTTGATATGGCATTAATCAAGTTCATGTCTTAATAACCAGTTTGACAATAAACCCATGTTGCACTTGTCTCCTTGTCCAAATGTCTTTCTTTCGTCATTCTGTCTATTTGTGGGGATTTTGCCGATGGGAATTCCAGTAAATGTTTAGGTTTGATTGGATCGTGTCTATTTTAGCCTTTTTATGTGCCAATTTCCTATGGCCTAATTAGGATAAAGGGCACTAAAACTACATTTTATTAAGAAATGGGCTGCTTTAAATCCGGTCTTAAGGGTACTATATAAAACTCCCCAACTCAAGAGATGATTTCATATTAACAGGTTGGGTTAGCTGCTTCAGTATCTGTTGTCTTTTCTAATGTATTTCAAGTTGCTGAAGCTACTTTAACCTCAGTCACTGAGCGGTACTCATTTCAGACACTTGAGCCGGGGGTAAAGAGAGGACCCTCAGACTGGACTGGAATGTGTCCAGGGAAACCTTTGACATTACTGGAGGGGTTATGTTATTCATCCAGTCTCTTCCATGAACTGTCCCAAATAAAAACATGCTGATTTGTGACTTGTTTGTTCAGTAGTTGTTGCTTGAAGCAATACAAGAACGACTGTTGCTAACTGGGTTCTTGGCAGAGAACTCGAGCTGTTTTCCTTACTGAGAGGTTGCCTGAGGTTATTTACCCACTCGGACATAGCTACTAACTGATGTTTGCTTCTGGTCGTATAACAAGAAACTAAAAATGGTTGCACAAACATCACAATTGCTTGTTTTGGTGACATCCACCATGGAGGTTATTTGCTTGTCAGAAGAATTATGGATAAACTACAGGCCCTTTTGTCATGAAACTTGGTGATAGAGTGAACCATTTGCTCAGAAAGAACCCATTCTTTTTAGATCCAATTCACAAGTTACATTTTCCCTACTGCCTTCTACTCTCATATAGCAGTTCTCACTTCTTGTGTCCTCCACATTTAAAGCAGCAGCTGAAAAAATGTGACACCTGTCCTACTGTATGTTCTCCTATGAGTCACTGCCAGGAACTAAAGTGCAGAGTGGGAAGTTCTTAATGAGTCACCTTTACCGTAGGTATGTGTGTCTGTGCTTCTACTGGATGGCTTAGGTAGAACAGAGCAGGTTTGGGAAGATGTTTTTTATGTGATCTATGTTTACAAGGATTTAGCAAAGCTTAGGTTATTTTTTCAAAACTACTAGGAACCATATTGTTACTTTTACATAACAGAAAGAGGGCTATAACTACCAAATGCTTAGCCTACCTGCTAAACACATTTTGAAAGACACAGGTTTACACTGGATATTTACAAGATTATTGAGGAAAAATTGTTTACAGGCAGGGCCACTTTGAGGAGTGTCATTGAGCTGTTTTGAAGATTATGGCCACACCCAGGATTACCTTGCAAATATAGCAGCCTAGCATAAGGAACGTCACTAGGAACTGTATCAGCTGAAAGTAGCACAGAAAGAGACATTTATATTGTTGAAATAAGTGTTAGAAGGAAGAGTGGGTGTTTAGAAAGCCAGATTTTCTAGAAAAATCCCTGGTCAGCTCAGTAGGGAGGGGGTGTAGTGAGTCAGAGGGTTGCCCATGAATCCTACTCATGAAGTTGGTAATCCAGCTCCAAAATCCTAAAAGAAATGTTTTTGGGTTAATGTGAGTGGAGTTTGTAACCCGAACCGAGTACAAGCGCTCTGTACGATAACATACAGTAACATAAACATATTTATATTTAATTGGTGTAATAATGCTTTATAGAATACTTTATGATTTTCCATTACCAGCAGTGGGATCTTTACGAGCCTTAATGTTGATAAATTATCAAAGTTAAGAAACACAAGAGTTAAATGTACGAGTCCTCACTCACCGGCTTTATGGCTTATTTTTCGTGGCCTTTTTGGCAGTGCTCTCAGCTCAGCCTACTTCTGTCCTGTCTATATTTAGGGCTGCAGAATGCCCTGTTGGAAAGCTGTCCTACATTAAGCATGCTCCTCCATCTCTGAATACCTGCAGGTGATCTAGCATCCATCACCAAATGCTTTTCTTTTCCCCATGCTCACATCTGTCTCTCAATCTCAGGTTTCATCACATGACAGACAAGTCAAAATAATGCCAGAGAGCATTTGGGTAGACTATAATGAAAAGCGATTGTGCCTAATGTATTACATCTGTTCCCCAGCTTAACCTTTATCTGTGTGTCATTGTCTGCAGCTCTGTGTCTGCCACCTCCTCACTCCGTCTCCTTTTCGGTCCTGCTCTCTCTCTGTCCTTGGTAGCCACGACATCATCACAGACTTCATTCTGCTCTAAGGTTGAATTTTCAGCTTTTTTTTCTGGATTCATGTATTGGATCACAGCACAACAAAAAGTTAACTCCAGCCTTCGTTTTTACAAAAAGCTGTGAAAACTAACCAACCAAAGAAGATTTATTTTAATGTGCTCTTTATATAAGAACATGATGCGGAAGAAGAAGAAGAAGATGCATCTTTCTCAATAGGAAACATATAGATATATTGGAGATTATAGCATACATTCACAAGGTTTAATCAGTACTTTAGATTTTTTAACATTTTTGTTTTAGAAACTTTCTTGGATTCTGTTCATTACAGAGTAAAAATGTTTATACAATGTATATTCTGTCTTTTTTTATTTACCATTTTGGATAATTATGCAGTTGCATGGGTTTACAATAATGAGTTTTACTGTCTGTACAGCATGATGGCAATTTTTTGTCATGTTGATACCAAGAAACATATATTTTTCAAAGATGCTGTAACTTTGTAAACTTCATGAACTTCCATGCCCTCTCTATCTTGAACTTTCATGCCCTCTCTATCTTAATTCACCTTCGGAATTAAGTTATAAAACAACCAGTTGATTAATGTATAATCCAATGATTATATGTGGGAACAACTTTTATAATCATGTAATAATTGCAGTTGGTAATCATCAAAACATGTCCACCATTCTCTGTTTATAACATATTTCCAATCCAAGTTTAATTTTAGGGGATTACAATCTAAAATATTCTAATTTTGGACTTCCGGTTGGTCGAAGCAAGGCATTTGATAAACATATAACTTGTGATTGCCACGTTTGTGTTGTGTTGTGTTATATTAACAATTCACCTTTATTTTTGTTGGACTTTCCAAGAATTAATAACTGCTAGCTTTCATATGTCAACATCTGTCTCCTTAAATGTTTTGCTGCTGATTACTGTACTTTGGATGAACTATTCCTAACATACGCCGTTGTTCAAATCAGTTCCCAAATGTTCCTTATGTGAATACACGCTGAACTCCGCTTCATTTGTATTCCTCTAGGCCCTTGAGCCTGGTTAATCAACACGGTCTTTCTTAAACAGAGTTAAGATGGAAATGGATCTGCACTTGGATTTTCTCATTTAGTGGGAATGCTGACACAGCATTCCCACTATCTGTTATGCTACGCACGAAATTCTTTATTATTCCGCCGGGATATTTTGCGCTGCTTCTTCTCCCACATTGAACATTGCAGAAACTCTGTTCAAACATCAGAACGTTCAGCTCGGTCGGGAACCGATGGCTATTACTTTTATCATTCATAACTTTCATAATTCCAGAGATACATCCCATAATACATCCCATTTTTAACATGGAAGTCAATGGAGAACTCTTCAGACTTCAACAATCTTCATGCAACTTCAACTACTAACTGCTCCTTCTTCAACTGCTAACTGCTCCTTCATACTTTCACTCAGAAACCTCATTCCAACTTTAAAATGTCACACATCTTTCTGACATTATTGGTGTAACACGACTTTTAAATCTGATTCTTACTTTTACAGATATTAAACATTGTTCAGACCTTGGTAAAGAAGCCTTCTTCAGATTTAAAGGCCCGGACACACCAATCTGACAACAAAGAACTGACACAGACGGACCCGAGTGTCGCGTCGCCTCGCGTCTGCATGCGGATTGGCGGTGTGTGCAAGCTAGCTATGTTTAAAATTGCAGCACTTTGTATATTATTGTATATTATGCTTTAGCAGTGGTAGACAAAGTACTTATACATTTTACTTCAGTAAAAGTAGTAATACCGCAGTGTAGAAATACTCTGTTAGAAGTAAAAGTCATGCATTAAAAGATGTACTAGTGTAAGTACAAAACCAAATGTACTTAAAGTACCAAAGGTACTGCTTGGTAGCTTCATAGCAACTAAAGTAATCAACTATCTTGTAAACTATAACCTGTAGTTTTGTAGCTAATGAGTGTTTTGTTCAGCTGCTTGTGTAGATAACTCAGTTATGTGTTTGTTAATATTTGCAGGGGAAAGCTTCAGGAGCCTTTCCTACCAGTTCCCAGTGGGAGTGTCATTACTGTGTCAACCATCCGGCAATTCGTTCCTGAGACCTGTACAGCCATTTACAAGGTTTTAAAAGAGAAATACATGAAGGTATGTGTGGATACTTACTGGTTTTACTGTGCAAACTGTATGTAATACAGTGAGGTCTGTAGGCATTTGAACAGCAAATGTTTCTCTGCCATATGAAACATGGGTCTGAAAAAAGATATTTGTTGTTTTTCAGTGCCCAGACACAGTGGAAGAGTGGCAGCAAGTAGTTGATGGATTCCAGGCTCAGTGGGACTTCCCAAACTGCCAAGGTGCCCTGGATGGGAAACACATCAACATCCGCCCCCCTCCAGGAACTGGACCAACCTACTACAACTACAAGCATACATTTTCCATAGTGCTAATGGTGCTGGTTGACAGCAACTACAAGTTCTTGTATGTAGATGTAGGTTGTAACACTCATCTGAATAATGGCCACTTCTTGCTAAATTTACATTCCCATGTGATGCTTTTATCCCAGGCGACTCACAATAGGTAAATGAACAATGAACAGTGGTAGACAGTAGCTCATCTACGTATAGGCACTGTACTTAAGGACAATCTTGAGGTACTTGAGACTAATCCTGCAACTTTATACTTCTGCTCCACAGAAGTTCGAGAATGAAGAAACCATCACGTATGAAAGGGACATGTGAATAGAGGGGCAGAAAACCGTCTTGCACATTTACATT